GAGGGCCTAACACAGTCGGTCCTCAGAGACAACACGAGGGGGATCCCGAGTAGGTTAAGGAAGCCTTTAGAGGTAAATGCATTGGAATTCATGGTTCTCTCTGACACCATGACTTTGGGGCCAAGTGAACAATCAACAATGCTTTTTCTTTTTTTAAATATCAAAACGCCTTTTGAAATGGACTTCCCTGAGACCAGTCCTACTACCTTTTCCTGTTAGATCTTCTCCTGCTGCAAACGTTTTTGGTGATGTCATTGTGGTGTGGAGAGAAGAGACAGAAGTAGAGGGACATGTGCCTCTGGATGCTCAGTCACCGGGCTGCTTTGGCCGGAGGTACTGACTGATGGCCAGGGCTAAATCAGCAAGAAATGAGGAAGTTTGACCCTTCACGTTGGGTCAGGAGGAACTGTGTGATGAAGAACAGAGAGAACATTCCCGAGAGCAGCCACTCCTCACGTTTCAAGAAGATGTGGCTGCAGAGCATCCCTGCTGGGGCGGGGAAGCCAGGACAGTCCATGGCTGCCTTTCCAGAAGGATCTACACACCAAGACTGAGGTTGCCAGGATATCTGTCTCCCAAAATCCTAAAAAGGTTTTTACCTTCTATGGTTTGGATCAGGTTCATGCCAGACATTTTAGCACAGGAGGTGCTCTGAAGGTGTGGGCCTCCCCCCTCCCAAGTAATCAGAGTGAAGGAAAATCGGGAATTTCCCAGGTCATCCATTCACTCGTTCATTTGCTGGAACTGAGCTAGGTGCTGTGATGAGTGCAGGGGTGAGCAGGGACAGTCCCAGGCTTCAAGGAGCAGGGGGTCAAGCGGGGAACAGCTATGAAAAGAAAGTAAGAACAGTATGGAAGTGCTACCGAGTATGTCTCTGCTATAGGAGACAGAGCTGCGAGCCACCGATTTTGCCAGCAGAGGCCAAGGGAACAGGACGAACAACAACAATAATAAACATTTCTATAGTACTGAGTTTGTGCCTGGCACTTTTAGTGTATGGATTCACTTAATCCTCCTAACAACCCTCTGAGACGGGCACTGTTGTCTCCATTTTACAGATGAGAAGACTGAAGCTTAGTGAGGCTAAGGAGCCTGTCCAAGGCCATACAGCTAGTAAATGGCAGCCTGGCTCCAGAATCCAGGCTGTTCACCACTGTTTATATGACTTGTCACAATTTCTACTCTCTTTCTGAAAGTAAATTTTAGAGCCAAGTTATAAGTTATAGGTCAAGAGAAGAAACTCGATAATCATCTTTCTACTTCAGCATCACTACGAATGAAAAATTTATTTTGTATCTACATCAGATTAAGTATCTGAATTAAAATATAAAAACATTAATTGCTCAGAAAATGGCCTTTTGCAATGTGCAAGCATGATCCACCTGGGAATTTTGAGTGGCTTAAGTGGAGAACAGTGGTTCTGAATTTTGTCTTTCTTCTGTAACACACTTAGAAAGAGCAACCAACATACCCCACCAATTCCCACTTTCCAGGGGAAAAGAATCTCTGTGATAAAGCTTTGGAGGACGCCAATGTAAACAAGTTGTACTGAGAGCTTTTATACATGATTTTATATTGTCAAGCAATGCCCTATAAATTTTAACCAAAACAGTACTTTTCTATTCGCCTTGGTGGTAGTTGCGGATTGTTTATTCAGAACACATTTACAGGCAACATGTTACCAATGACATGTAACTGTTTAAGGGTATTGGGGCAAGGGGGGCTGGTTCCTGTCTACAATCACTTTGACAGTACAGTTAGGAATCACTTCCGTACAATATGAAAAAACTCACATCTTTAAGTCAAATTATTGGAAAATTACAAGTCAAATGATGTTGATTTGCCTCTCTATGTGCTGTAAGAGTAACCAAACAGATCTCCACAAACAGCGGTTTATAATGAAATGATTTGTAAATAGATGGCAAGAATAACACCAATAAAAACCGTGGCTACCTGGACATGAACTTGCTCCTGTGCATCCAGCAGGGTCTCCAGTGTGCCGAATGGCTGTTGGACTTCTCAGTAGGATGGTGAATCAGGACTGTTAGTGAACTCTAACTTACTATTACTAAATGTTGGTAATTAGGGTCTCCAGTGTGCCGAATGGCTGTTGGACTTCTCAGTAGGATGGTGAATCAGGACTGTTGGTGAACTCTAACTTACTATTACTAAATGTTGGTAATTAAAAAAAAAAAACATTTTATAGGTTCATAATAAGTACGTAGCCCTTAATGCCACATAAAAATTAATCTGTGGACTAGTGCATCCTTTGCTCATAAGAGCTACAAGAAGTCTGCTCCAGCCTGCATGACCTGGCTGTCAGTCATTCTGAGAGTTTTCTTTCCTTTCACCTTGCTTGCCCTACCTAATGAGGTCAAAGTTCTGGATAGAGATGATGCCAGGGAACGAGGGAGCCC